CACCCCTGAGAACACGACCATAACTAAGCCCTTTGCACTGACCCGAAGCAAACGCAGTATCCTGACCAGAAACAGAGATAGGATCCGAAACAGATTCCTCGTCCTCAAACTCCTCATCAGAAACACTAGGCATAGAGTAAGATCCGGTCGAGCGAACAGCCATGAACCCAAAAGTATCTACCTCAGCCCCTGCAGAGGTCTGAAGACTCCCCCTGGAGCTCTGGAGGCCCCTGAAACGGACCGGCTTCGATCATCCCCATGCAATTCACACAGACATGACTCTCAACGCGGCTGCGCTGCAAGCTACACTGCCCGCCGCCCCCCCCCCCCCCCCCCCCCAGGCACGCATGCCCTGTGACAAACGACGCGATAGGAGAAAGAAGAGCAGAAACGAGAAGCACCAGGACCCATCCTCATCCGCTCCTCCATGCCCCTGATGATACGGTGAGGGATTGATGATGGCACAGCGACAGAACTGACGGATGCGACCTCTCGTTCGCCATCGTCCTCGCGCAACTGGACATGGCGCTCGCAAGTGTCTCCAAAACGCTACCATTGCCGCCCTGGGCTTGCCCTTGCATTCAGGGCCCCGGACCAGTGGCCTGTTTCGCGGCGGGCCTTGCATTTCGAGCGTTTCTTGATCTCCTGGAGCCGCTTCTTGCGATTTGCGATCCCCCGGGGAAGGCCCCCCCTTGCCGCCCCGGTTAGGCGACCAGGGCGTGCTGCGGCAACCCTCGCCTCCGCTCTTTCCTTTGCCCTTGCCCCTCCCTTCGGCGCCAAGGTCGGCGACCCTGTCCTCTTGGATCGCGTCAGAAGCTTCTTCCTCCGCGCATCCGGCCTCGAAAATCTCGTCGACCACCTCGACGTCGAGCTGGCTGTTACATCCTGGACAGGAGCCCAGTGATCGTGCGATTCCTCGTCGACGCAGGCGCGCGGGTCGGCGCAGATGCACCGGGCCGCGTCGCCCAAGCCGTGCTCTGGCGCAAAGCCGGGCGCGCAGCTCCCATAGGGACTCAGCTCCTCCGGGCAATGCCCCCCCCCCCCGCTCGCACCATCCATCATCAGCAGCGCAGAAGGCGCGCTGCGGCCTGTTCTGGCAGCTGGGCCCGGGCTGCGCCCACGTCGAAGAGCTGGAGCCTTTACAGGACTAACCCTTTCCCTGTTTGGCGGATGCGCACGCGGCCGTGCTGGAAGATCAAGACGCCCTTGATATTGTCGCAGGTTGCCCCATTTCCCGCGGATGTCAACACCATAAGATTCTCCGAAGGCGAGAGGTCCGCATGGCCCAAGAGAAGGGAGCCAAGCACATCGTCGCTCATCAAGATCTTAAGACCAAACTTGGAGACAAGTCCCCACCAGTGCGTCCTTTGGGAGATGCACGAGACCATAGACTCACCGCGCTGCCGAGACAGTGGTCCACATGGTCTCTGCCCCACCTGGAACAGGATCTTCGCTTCCTACGCCTCAGTGGGGAAGAGTGAAAAACGAATCGCAAAGGCCAGCTGATCGATCCCATTCGGAATCAGGAGCACGTCTTCACCGATATCCATGGCAATATCGAATGCGTCACCTCTGAGGCCTGCAACAACCTTGTTGACAGCTGCGGTGATCACGCGTCGCCGTGGTGCACCCGTCTCTTGATCCACGGCCAAGCCAGTGCTCATGCGCATCTCTGTGCGAAATTCCCACTCGTGAAAAGGTGTTCACCGTGCCGTCGTAGATGTAGGAGCCACTCTTCGTCTCGGACCGCGCCAGCGCGTCGGCGCTCGGCCGATAGCGAAGAGAAGAAAGTGCCATGGCGCAAGGCCCAGTCCCCTAGCGAGGGAAACTGCCAGTACAAAAAGTAAGGATATGTAGTGCAACACTCTCTTGCGCGCAGTGGTACGATACGGGGATCGTGGGGTAGCTCCGCTACCAGTGTGATGATGATGGTTACTGCGCAATGGCAAAAAGCGGCCCCTAGAGGTCAAACCGCAGCGAGTGGTGCATATACACACGTGACACACGCACCATCTCACATCTGTCGAAAGTCATGAACCAACAATTGTGATTTTCAGAACAAGGTCGCGCATCAGGATTGGAAAGTATTAGTTGGCAGATGGGTGTATATGATTTGCCTATGAACAGAAATGATTTCCTGATGAAAAATTGCGGCATACTGCTGCAAATCATAATGATGTTTCTGGTTGTCGTAGGGATTTAGTTGCGTGTAACGTAGTATGAAATTACTGAACCAAGCAATCGTCTTGACAGGATAAGTAATTATTTTCTTCATATCAATGTATGCGGTTCACTGCTGAAATACAAACAAACAAAACACGTCGGGCAATACATGCCAACACTTGTCGTAGCTGTCCCATCTGAATTGTCATGAGGTCGTGAATAGTCTACGAAAGTAAACGACACGTGTTCCAAACACCATTTGTTTACATAGAAAATAAGACTCAATGCTCTTCTGATGAGCGTGTATGGTTGCATCGTGCGAATATACATTACGTCCGTGAAAACGAATGGAGCATTTGCGAATGCAAATATAAGATTACTTAGTTGTCCAAACGTATGTACGTGATTGCGTGAAGAATACTTGTATTAAAATACCACTTCCCGAAAGAAACCATACATTATATATATATATATATAATGCTGCGTACGTATTGTATGACTTAAGGGTGCTTGAAAAACTCTGCCTTTAAGAAACTCAAAAATCACTTTAGACATACTAACACATGTGTTGGTTGTCCACATGCATGGCATGATGTTGCGAAGAGTTGCGACATACTACACTATTTCCTGTTATGTGAGACTGTATGATTCGATGGTGGTTAAAGAACAGTCTGCCGTTAAGAACGAGGTATTGGTATTCAATAAATTATAGTTTTTCTCGTTTACATATAAATGTGTAAATTCCGTGCACATGTGGTAGAAGAAACAAACTAATTGTTACAAGAAGCTAAATGAACTTCCCCGGCACTTTTCCAAAACTTCCTGGAAAGCAACGTCGGTTCAACCCTTTCCCTCCGGCCTACCCCACAAGGCCAGCGGAGACCCGCGAGCGAGATCAGCGAACCTCCCCCTCCTCCTCAGATCAGCGAACCTCCCCCTCCTCCTCCCCCTCCTCCTCCTCCTCCCCCTCTTCCTCCTCCTCCTCCGCCACCTGCGTAAAGGCCTCCCAAAGGGGGGTGATGGAAGCGGAGGATCGCGACGCATCGGCGACGCCGGTATAGAGGAAGTCGGGCTCCACATCGAGTTTCATCCCCGATGCATCGGCATGCGGCGCGGTCCACCGACCCCATCTACTCGGACCCTGTCTGGGAGGCCTAGACTATGGCGTAGGTGCCCTTCCTGTTCCTCCTGCCCCACGGGAAAAAATAATTGCATACGCATAGCATTTCAGAGCTCCGCGCGAATTTCTTGGATCGGCGCTGGGCCCCCCTGCCTGGCGCGCGGAGCGCGCCAGGGGCGGCGCTGAAGGCGCCGCCGGGGGGCTCTGGCGCAGATCCAGAAGCCCGCGCGGAGCTCCGAAAATTTGTGATTATGACGTGTTTCGTCTTCGACTCCTCTTCCCCCTCCTCTTCCTCGTCCTCGTCCTCCTCCTCCTCCTCCTCCTCCTCCTCCTCCTCCTCCTCCTCCTCCTCCTCCATCTGGGAAGCGTCCTCTTCCGCACCCGACGGCCTTGCAGCTGCCCCCAGAGACGACCTCGTCGCACCCGAAGATCGGCACCAGCCTGCAGCCTGGCGAGGAGGCCAGAGGTGCCCTGCCTGGGGCGGGCGCCGACGCCCTGGCCCCTCCCGCCGCGAGGGCACGAGCCCGATCCTCACGTTGCACGGCTTCCCCCGGGGCCGTAGGCGACCCGAGGAGGAGGTGGAGGAGGAGGAGGAGGAGGAGGGGTCGCCTAAGCCCTTCGGAGAAGCCCTCAACCTCACGTCCGACAGGCTCAGGGGAACGAAAAGGCTCAAGATCTGGGGGCGGCTTCCATCAGGTGAACGCTTTGTTATTATGTGTTTCGACATTGGGCGGAAGGGGCGGGGGAGGGGGGGGGTCTGGCCATGGACCTCTGCTTAGTGCGACCGGTTGAGACCGTGAGTCCTATGGGAGTAGCTCCACCTGCTCGAAACAGGCGCCCCAAAAAAGCCAAGATCTACTCCATAGGGGGGGGGAGGGGGGGTGCGAGGGCCCGCGCCGATCGGCAAAACAATGAAGAAAAAAACGCCCACCAGCTGCGCCTTGCCGAGAGCTTCCTCGGGTTGCCCAGACCGTCCCCGAGTGGCCGAGGAATACCCGAGCCATGACCCGAGGACCAAAGAGGCGAGGGCCACTGGCGGGGCTCTCGCTGCCGTCCCTCGGGCACCCCTCAGATCCGCAGAGGGAAGGGCCTGGGGGCCCCAGTCGTGGTGTTTCGCTGTGATGCGACTGTCTCGCCACGTCGGATCTCAGAGACCTCGCCCTCCTTCAGGAGGGTGCCTCCTCCTGCTGCTGCTCCTCCTCCTCCTCCAGGGACCTCCCCCTCCTCAGGGGGGGTGGGGCCGCAGAGGCGGGGTAAGGCTGTGGATGTCATGACAGTGGACACCCGAACCGTTCTGTCATTGCACTACCCATGTCTTGTAAATGTATGTTGCATGCTTTTAGACGTCCAACATATGTTTAAAACATGTTTTGGCATATTGGGAAAATGTTTTAAACATGTCTTTGCCATCTGGAAATCATTTGACAACATGCCTCCTCTCCATGGATCGTCTTCCACAGTGGTAAGGCCCAGCCGGCTTCGCTCTGCGGCCCCACCCTGGATCGACTCCTCGTGGGCTTGACTGCGGCAGGAGGGCTGCTGCCCTCGAAGCAGCAAGCTAAGAAAGATGACGAGCCCAAAGGCCCGCCAACGCTGTGAAACAAGAACAGTCCCGAAACGCCGCGTCCACTCCACATCGATACGAACCCCCCAGCTCCTGCTCCTCCCCGTGCCGCGGCGGCGGCAGCCGGCGCACAACACGACCGCACTGGCGGCCAGAAGTCGCGCGCATCTCACCGTTCGGCGGGCTTAGCTGCGTCGCGAGCGGCGCAACCGAACCATGAAGAGAGCGGCGCGGATATCGCCTCGTCGGCCTCACCTCCGCGTCGGGGAGCAGTGGCGAGGCGAGGCGAGTCAAGGAAGACATGATTAAGGGGGGGGATTCGGCCCTGGGCCTTCGCATGGGATGGCTGTGGTCGTGGAGCTCGTCGAGCTGGTCATCGTTCTCGTGGTCATCGTTGTCGACGTCTTGGTTGACGTGACCGAGGTGACAGTAATTGTCGTGGTCGTTGACGTGTGCACGGTGTAGGTAGACTGGCTGGTGCTCGTGTCGCTCTCTGTCTCGGTTGCAGAAGATGTCACGGTGGTGGTCTCCGTATAAGATGACGTCGCCGTGCTGGACGTCATAGTGGTGGTGGTGGTCACGGAGGCTGAACTCGTTCCTGACGTTGTAAGCGTGGGCGTGGTGGTCCCACTCCCTGTTGTTACCGATGTCGTGCTACTCGCCGTCGTAGTACTGCTGGCCGAGTCGGTGAAGGTTGTGCTGCTGGAGAACGTGGAAGATGTCAGCGTGGTGGAACTGCTCGTTTCCGTGGTCGTCAGCGATGTGCTCGACGTCTTCGTGGTCGTTGCCGACGTGCTCGACGTACCCGAGTCAGTGGTGCTCGTGAGAGTAGTCGTGGAAGAGCTGCTGGACGTCCACGAGGCTGTGGCCGTCGGCGTGGTGCTGGAGGTCCCGCTGGCCGTCACCGAGGTACCTGGAGGCCTCCTCGGTGGGCTCCAAGCAGATGGGATCGAAGGATCGCGCAGCATCGCCACTGCATCGCCCATGTATCGGCGATGCATCGGCGATGCATCGGCGACGTCGGCGATGCATCGGCGACGTCGGCGGGCTCCACACCGAGTTTCATCCCGATGCATCGGCGACGCGGCGCAATCCTCCGACCCCATCTGCTCGGACCCCATCTAGGAGGCCTAGAGTGCCTGTCCCCGTGGCAGTCGAAGTGTCCGTTTCTGTGCTCGTGGCGACGCTCGTGGTTAACGTCGTGCCGGTCATCGTCTTTGTGGTAACCGTCGTGCGTGTTGTCGTTTCCGTGGTCAAAGTCGTGCCAGTCGTCGTCTTTGTAGTTACTGTCGAGGTCGTTATCGACGTCTTTGTGGTCGTATATGTCGTCACTGTCGTCATTGTCGTCACGGTGGTTGTTGTGCATTCGGCGACATCCATCTGCCCAGCCAGGACCATATCTGCAGTGGGGCAGGTATTGTCAAGAAGCGTCCTTGTCGTGAAAGTGTATGTGGTCACTGTGGTCGAGACTGTAGTGTCAGTGACAGTAGTGTCAGTGACAGTAGTGTCAGTGACAGTAGTGTCAGTGACAGAAGTGTCAGTGGCAGTAGTGTCAGTGACAGTAGTGTCAGTGACAGTAGAGACGGTAGTGTCAGTGACAGTCGAGGTGTCAGACACCGAGGTTACAGACGCACTGGAGCTGTCAGTCGCAGAAGACATGGTGCCGCTTGACAGGGTCGAGGTCTCGGTCATGGAGGCCAGGGTAGCGTTCTCCGTGAGGCGACGCGCATCAGCGAGCTCTGGAGTAGACGCCTCGTGCACACCTCCTCCACAAGAACAGCACGCCTTGTGGGCGGGCAAGGTGGTTCCCGCAACCATGGACGCGAAAGTGTCGTTGCCTCTGGTCCACCCAAGACCATGCCCCCCACTTGATGTGCAGAGACCGTTTCGGCTGTAGTCGGCACAGTTGGCACCAAGGAGGTCCACCCACACGGGGGAGGTGTCGTGGCAAGAGGTCAGGGACGCCGCCCTCCTCACGAGTGCGGACATGGAGACCAGTGCAAATACCGTTCTCCAATCCGAAATCATCTTGCCGAACCCGGTGTGCGGTGGCTTCCGAGTGCTTCTGGAGGTAGGGCGAGTAGGACCCACGGCTTGACCGCGGGCGGTCGCTGCCATTGGCGCCACGAAGCAGATGCGAGGATATGAGGACCTGAGGACCCTTGAGCCGCCAAAATGCCTTTCAGGGCCAAACGGCTCTTGAAGTGGCAGCGACGATGCTGATGGCTGCGGAGGTGGCGGCAAGAATTGTGACGACAAATTTCTCCGCTTTCGCCTCAGTGTCGGGCAGCCGACACTAGGTACAATTACTCGGCTTCCCAAGGCTTTTCAATCTCGAGTCATGCGGAGGCAACTGCAGTCAGCGGCACCTCCGATTCCTGGGGGGTCTCCTATCGTCGGTCATGACTCTTTCGAGGACCCAAGAATATGACTCATACACTACAGGATGTAGCCGATGGGTGCATGGCAAAGCAGTGCCGCAACGCGAACCAGTAAGAACACTTTCAGAGCAAAACAACGCGAGGCAACGCAAAGCGACGCCTAGCAAAGCAACGCCAAGCAAGGCAGCGAACAAAAGACATGACAAAGCTAAGCACTCCAGAACCAAGCAATGCAAATCAATTCAAACCAGCGCAATCGAAGCGAAGGAGCAACGCAACAAAACGAAATAGCGCGTCGTGCAGTCTATGTAGGGCAACCTGCGTGGTTCAATCCAAGTTGCGCGATGCATGAGCCGCAGTGTAGGTGGCGCAGCGTGCGTGGAACAATCAGGAACAGCCCATATGCGCAACCGATGGAGCAACCTGTGGGCGCAATCGATGGCCTCGAAGCATCCCTGGGGCCACGTGCGCAACCCATGGGCGCAACCGAGGACGCACCCCATGGGCGCGATCTATGGCCTCGAGACCACTGGGGCCTCGTGCGCAACCGATGGGCGCAATCGATTGCGCAACCCGTTGGCACAGTATATGGCTTCGACACATCCCAGACATCTCGCGCACAATAGTTGACGCAACCCGTGGGTGCAACCCGTGGCCTTGAGCAAAAACCCTGGGGCCTCAGGCGCGACCAGTGGTCGCAACCTGTGGCTTCGAAGAATCCCTGTTGGCCCCAGGCGCAACCCATGGGCGCAACCTATGGCCACGAAAACTCTTGACAGCCTTACGCCTAGTTGTACGACTCAAAAAAGAACCCACAATATGTGTCATGCTGTCCGCCACTGCGTTAGCAGCAGATGTGCGTCAAGCCACACCCAATCACAGGGAGCCGAGCAGCCACCGCACAAAAGACCATCAGCATGACCAGCGAAACGGGAAGCCACAGCAGCACAAGCAACCACAGACTGAGGACTCCAAGCAGCCACTGCGCAAAGTGCAACGCACAGTTCGAGCTAGGCTGGAACCTTCGCATTCCATAAACCCCGCGCGACCCAAACTTCTCCAAGGCTAATTCGAATCATGCCTGGGGAACGCAAAGCAATACAGTGCAAAGAATCGCAAAGCATTGTTTAGCATGGCTTTGCATTGTTCAGCATTGTTTTGGCGTTGCCTGGCATTGTCTGACATTGCCTGACATTGCCTGACATTGCTTCAAATCGTTGCTGGCATTGCTTGGCATTGCCTTTCATTGTCTTAATTGGCACCGTTTGGGATTGATTGGCATTGCTGTGCTTTGGTGAACAACGGATATACATTCAAACCTATAGAAAGGAGGACTGGCGAAGAGCAAGACAATGAAGGCGTTGTAGGTCTGGGTGCGAGTTGTCAGACCCCGAGGGGGGACTCCAGTTCGAGCGGGGACCCACATCCAACACCACACACCCATAGCCCCCCAGAGTTCCACCCCAGAATTTTTGAGGGACGTAACACCATGGGTGTTAACTGTCAGCTGGTAATAAGTGCTTGGCATTGATTGGCATTGCTCCGCAGTGCTTGGCACTGCTTGGAGTTGCAACGACGGGGCAATTCAAGGAATGAGACCCCAAGGAACCCGAGCAACAAGACCAAAGAATCTGAGGAAGGAAGGCAAGGATCGAGACCGAGGAATCGCGAAAAGACCGGGGAACCCAAGAAGCAGAACTGGGGAACCTAGGCACGGCAGCACTGGGTCAAAACATCCACCCCCATAGTAACCACCCTGACACGCGAAGTCGCTTCGTAAGCGCGCCCAACGAAGGAAGGAACAATCGCGAATGTCGGGTCCACGAATTTATTCCTCCCTTGAAGCAAGAAAACAGAGACCGGGGAACTGGGCAAGGCCTGGGCCCGCCTCTGAATCGGGGGGTGCGACCACCCGTTCGCCACAACACAAGTAAGATCAGTGAGGCGAATCCGACTTGGGGAAGCAGCCATAGTTTGAAGGGGGCTGGAAGGCCCAGCCAACAGCTTCGCCTTAGGCGAAGCCAAGTTCCAACTCTGTTGTACCGTAGCAGCGATTGTCCCAGTATGAGGGGACATGCCATCTCAAGCTAAATGAAAATCCTTTTGGTCTCGATAGCGATTGTGTGCCTCGCAGTGAGGCGCAGTCAAATTTGGGCGGCCGGCCGCTTGAGCCGACGCGGCCGCGAGCGCACGCTCGCTTCCACTCCTTACGCCCCTCAGCTCGCTTGAGAGTCGGGGGGGGGGAGAAGCGTGAGCCCGTCGCCCCTATACAGCAGGCATAGCAGCTAACCTACACAAGGACAGAAAAAGAAGGCGGGCCCAAAGGAAGGTGGACCCGCTAGCAAGTTGCCTTGCATGTGTATGACGCACTTATCAGGCGGCGTCAGAACTTGATGTCTGGCCGGCCCGATATGGAGCATGTCTCCTCAGGTCATGTACCTCCCATGACTTGCAGGAGCATTTCTCTGTCGATGCCCCCCTTGGTGTGGCCATCCGCAGTCATATCGCGGGTATCACACCACTGAATGCTGCGCACGATTCCACGCTCCATCATCTGTTGTATCCAACTGATGTGTCCTAGAAGGGTACAATCAGTCGGCTTCTTCAAGTCTTTGCTTGAAAATGACTTTAAAACAGACTCAGCATCGATGGTCAGAATGACCTTGATGCTCAGGCCACCCAACTCAAGTATATCTTTCAACTGAGTGGGCGTGAGCGGCCCCGCGTGGAGCTCGCGCAGAGTCACAATCGTGGGATAACAGTCCTCCAAATTACGGGCCGCTGCCAGCGTCTCTGCTGAATAACTCGTGCGGACCTGCAAGCGGTGAGACTTGCAATGCGCATCAATCAAGTGAACGACAGGCTTACCAGATAACGTGTTTCCACGTCGCAGCAGGTCTGCCCCGCGAATGCAATTGCCTTTGACGTCGCCATCGGCGTCTCCACTCAGGCGTCGATATCCTGAGTCGCTATGTAAGTCGACCTCGCCCGTGGGGTTCATCGCTAGGTAGACGATCTTCTTCGGGCAGGCCTGTGGCTTTCTGGTGATCGGGCTCAGTCGTCGCACTTGAATGATGGTCGGTTCCTGGACGCGTCGCAGAGATACAACATACACCTTTAACCACACCTGGGTGATTAGTGCGCATGCCAGCGCACCCCTGAGACCGACGAACATGTCTGCCACCATCTCGGTTGCTTGAGCGTCAGCGCCGGCGCCGGTTAGTTCGGGATGTTGTATACGACGGAGCTGATTGATAGATTCATCTTGATCCAAAGTGACATTGCCGTCCTCGTCCTTGGTGCATCTCACAGCACAGTTGGTACATGTGTGCCTGCTGAGCTTACACTTACCGAAAGTATCTTTAACGCATTTGACAGATTTGTCCATGGTGTCCTCAGCAACGGCCATATTAATGTCATCAACATGCTTGGCCGTAAGCAAATGATTGCTCGTCTCGAACTCCTCGTCGTAGAACGCGGGTCGGAGGCCAAATCCTCTGGTGGTTCTTCTGAGCTTAAGTGAGAAAGCCCGTGGGGCGTCTCTAGTGCCTGTACCCGGTTTCAAGCACTGCAGGCAGTGCTTTGACTCGTCGTAGCGCTCGAATCCTGGAGGGGCACGGAGCACGGTGGCCGATCCAGGCGGCAAGGTAAAACACACCACACGTTCCTTCTCACCCGTAGTTTCAGCATGTTCCTGATAGGTCAATCCCTCCAGGAAAGCCATGTTGATGTCGAGGGAAGAAATGCCCCACTGCTTCTGGCACGCTGCCGTGCTAGCGAGATACCTCTGGCTTGACCGTGTCGCCGTTGCCGGAAAAGTTTCTACGCCGAAAGCTTCAAGGCCCATGAAGCCTCGGAGGACCAAGCGTAGTCGGATGGCACGTTCCATCTCGCCCATCTCGTTCCTCACGAATTTAAATGTGCACACGTGTCTCGAAGTCATGATGTTCGACGCTTTGACGATCTCCTGCATATTAAAGCATCTGTTGTCGAACCATGTCTCGAGCTCAGTGTAGAGGGCCTTCGATACTTTATCGGGATTTGCCTGGATGTCAGCTTCAGCGAGGAGGTCGTCTTCCTTGACGACCACAGCTCGCTTCGCAGCGGCGGTAATGTATACTCGTGTAGTGGCCACCCGGTCGGCATCCAATATCACGCGCTGCTGCTCGGACAAGACTACCTTCGACATTTCTGTCTTAAAGCATAGTTCGACGTATCGACCATTTTCGTCTGAGTCGGGTCCGTAGCTGTCGTCCTCGACCATGGTGCACATGGGGGCGTAGCACGTCTCCTCGGCATCGGAGTCGCGAGTGCGCCCCCACTTCGGCAGGTGTCCCCGCTGTTCATCAACTACAGTGATCAGCACGCTCTGATCTAGAACCATATGTGTAGGTATGGTAAAGAGGTCCTCTGGTGGAGTTGCCTCCAACAGACCCCTTTCCCCTTGTAGTTCTGCGTACCACACCTCCATGACATGCGACTCAAGATAAACCTCTGATTCTTCGTAAACGGTAGAGAGCCATCCGTCATCATGTGCTGGTTCGGCTCCTGAGGCTTCTTTTGCGGTTCCATCCAGTGTCGGCGTATCAGCCATTCCCTCAATTTGTTGCACGTCCTGCTCAGAACCTGCTTGAGGTTTAGTGGACTTCAGACATGAGATGGTTCGTGAATGTGCTGCTCCAGATATACCGTGCATATTCAGAGCAGTACCTTCTGCTTCGTAGTAGTGAAATCCGGGATTCACGTCGTTGTCGCAATGACCCAATGTGCAGCTGTCGGCATAAGTACCCAGAGGTAGCTCATGGATACTCTCGGCTAATCTGACCGAACCTACATTCTCAATGCGAAAGAAGT